TCTCTCTCTCTCTCTCTGTTTCCCTCTCTCTCTTTCCCTCTCTCTCTCCTCTCTCCCTTTCCACCCTCCCTCTCTCTCCACCCTCCCTCTCTCTCCACCCCCTCTCTCTCTCCCTCCCTCTGTCTCTTTCTCCCTCCCTCTCCCTCCCTCCCTTTCATTCTATCACAGAGTGTTGTCATTACATCGCAGACTCCTGTGGCTCTCGCCTCGACTTCTGGTAGAGGTAGTTTTATCACTTACACATTCTGTAATAGCAGTGTTGTACTACTCAGGGCTGTCAAGTTGGTCAATGTGTTCATGAGGTGACAAAAAGGGCTGTCAAGTTGGTCAATGTGTTCATGAGGTGACAAGAAAATCCAGTCGAAGTGTTGCGCATCATTTCTGATCAAATCTGTTACATTAACATGCTCTATTACTTCAAAAAAAAATACCCGAAAAAACAAACAATAAAACTGCGTGTGTTTATAATTGAAGAAAGGTTATTGTTTTGCCAACTTTGAAAAAAGAAAGTTCAGCCATTAAGTTGAGCCCTCAATTCCTTCAAAGTGGTAATAATGGTTTGGAAAGCGGAAATGTAATAAAATTGTATTTTGTTTAACTTAACTCACTTTTCTTTAAATTTTGTTTAGTTTTTTTTTTAAAGAGGTGGGGACCTCTGGATTTTACGTCTATCTCCGAAAAGACGTAAGCAAATGAGGGAGGGAAAATTCGTATGAAGAAAAATGCCTTTCCCAAGAACACACCATAATATGATCGTTCTGAGGCTCGAACCCCCGAACCCGCAGTCTCACACGATCACGGGTCCGGTAGCCTAACCACTAGGCCAATGACGCTACGAGCAAGCTGACAGATCCACTAGGGAGACTGGTGTAGGCGCGCACTGTCCCTATTGTGGTCGGGGACTCTTCGTATTTCATGCCCTTATTTGGCAGTCGTGCTAGTTTTGTGTCTACTGTGGTCTACTGGGCGGATGAGATGAGATGCCTCCTCAAGGTTAGGCCTACTCCAGGTTAGGCTGTTCGTCCTCCTCACGTGGTGGTGTTCTGGGAGAGAGAGAGAGGGGGGAAGGGAGGGAGGGGGAGGGGGGTTGCTGTTTACGCTACGCCCTGGCCCCGTACGGCGTAGTAGAGTTGTAAACTTAGGGAAGCGTGAAGTGAAGGGAGGGTGTGGGGTGGTGGTGGTGGTTGGGACACGAGGAAACCAGTTCAGATGTCCGCCGGTCCCCTTCTCTTGCGATGAGGCGAGGAGAAGAAGGAGAAAAAAGAGGAGGAGAAGGAAGAAAAAAAGTTCCCCTTTGCCCTATGTGCAGCATTCGTAGCAGCCCCAACCAGTTTTGTGGTCACCGCC